GTGGTATAAACGTGGTCTTATTTCAGTGCCTGCTATCCACTATCCATACAGAAATATTGATAAAATTTGGCTTTCGATACTTTCAACCATTCTGCATATAATTTTTTAACTAGATAGATTTTAGACTTGATTTTTAAAAGCTGAAACCTGATATGAGGCAAAAAAGGAGACTTAATAGTGCAAGTTAATAGGAATAAGTTGTTTGAAGCCCCTTTAGTAAGTGAGCATTTTTTGCAAAACGTCCTTGGTCGAAAACCAGTCATAATCATGCATTTTAATATCTCAAATATGCAGTGCTTATCTCAGTGCGACAATAAAAAGTTGTTATAGTCTGTTCAGCAGAAGCAATGAAGAACCAGGAGACCGTATTGATCGCCTCGAAATCTGGAACTTTGTCAGGCAAATATAATAAAGACAGGTAAATGTCGACAACATGGCGGCTAAACGAGTCTATAAAATGGCGGACTATGCGCAATTGTTTCATGATTATATATATAATCAATAAAGCATTCTACGTAAATTCCCCAAAGGGCATTCCCAACCCATCTCCACGAAGCAAGATTTACTAATGCTATGGATACCGAAGCAAATTAAAATAGCATTCTTTGCTACAGTTTATCCAAAAAACTAACTGAAACTGATTGCAAAATCTAGATAAATGTAATAACAAAATACTGGTCTATCAGAGGCAAAAATTGGCTTACCATTATATTTCAAATTGGCCGTTGTAGCACTAAGTTTATAGTTCGAGGTGTTGGAGGCCATGACGGAGAACTCTGGATGCTGGGCGACTGAAGCTGGTTCCTATAGAGATGAGTCGGATCCAGCTTGCCAAAAGGTCAAAGAGGTGACCTACATTGAGGATGGCGCGCGCTCCTGTGACGTCGTCTGGCAAGGGAGGAGCCGGAACCGCCTCCACGGAAACTCAATAACGAAGTTTGCGTAGGCGGCAGTGGCATCTGGGAATGTTTAGTTTTTTAGTTAGTTTTCAGTTTGGGGCCGCAGGGGGGCGAAGTGAAGGGTAACCGTCCGTTTTGATTGAAATTATGGAGATGGAGTATTGTGGCGCCCGGCTAAAAAATGGGAGCAGTCGAAAGGTTCTTTTTTAATAAGATGGCGTCGGCCCAAAAGTAGACGATAAAAACTTTGCTAAATGGGGCAGTAATGAGGGTTGAATACATAAGGCCTAATGTTAAGTTGGTTTGCTACCAGGAGTAACACATTCATGAACACGTTATTTGAAGATTGATGGTTTGTTAGAGGACATTAATGCGAAATTAAGCGAACTTCTAAACTAAGTTTCCGACCCTTTCCTTGAACTTAACAATTGAGTTGACGGTAAATTGACTCACAATTTACCGTCAAGTCCTACCAATGGAACTCACGGTCTGGTGAATCCTAATTGGGTTAATTACCAGCTAAAGCTTATGCATTCAAAGCAAAAATGTTGTGCCAATTTTTGCTCAATACAATCAAAATAAATCCAAGTATGTTTTGTAAAGCTTTCTGCTAACTCCTGGTTTCCACGTATTCCAATAAAATTATTACTTTTTACTACTCACAGCTTTTAAATGAGAGAATTTCAAAAGATCATATGCATATAAGCAACTCCTCAACAGAATCAACGTTGCGCTGATAAATTATGATTAAATTTGGAACTGGAAAATTAGTGTTAGAAATTACGTTCCTACAGGGTGCCAAATGAAACAATACAAAATTAGTGAAAGTTCCGAGAGCTCTCGGTCAGAAAAAAACTCTTTCACTCGAAAAACGTTTATAAATTGATCGCTCATTTCGTTTATTTACAGGGTGGCCTAAAAAACAACTTTTTGGTCTAGTAGTGGCTATATATATCTTTCTCTTAAACCGATTTTCAAAATTTAGGGCTCATACTAAAGCTAAAACTTCATAGTGGACTTAAGAAAAATATTTAATATACCGGACTGCATAAATGAACGAAATATTTAAAAGTAAACTTAACTTCCATTCAAAGTCTGCCAAGATCAAATAATTCGGGCGCAAGTTTGATTTTGATCATTTTTTATGCAACCACTATATGACTTAAATTGTTAATAGCTAAGTTTTAGCTTCAACATCAGCTCTAGGTCGAGACAATCAAAAAAAATCTAAAAGTTGATTTTTTCAACCATGCCGTTAATAGAAGAGGTGACCCAAAAATTTAAATGCTGTTTCAAGCTATCTGGTATATCTTCAAACTTTTGGTGAGGACGAAAACTTTTTTTTTGTCCAACTAGGAGCATGCCAAACTCTCGAAAATTTTGCATTATTTTATTTGCCACTCTGTAGAAAATTTGTCTGTAGTGCTCAAAATTTGTCCTGTTGAGCAGTTCATTTTAGCTTAGTCCATTCGGTCTGTTTGGTTTTAAGAAGCATTGCCAATATGTGCTATATGATATTTGAGTCCTGCAAACAGAAAGTTACATCAAACAGAAAAAGGTTTTCGATTCAATAAATCGGAAATTTTCAGAACAAATTTGCTTAATCCGTAATGCAAATTCTGGCAACTGAAATATGGCTTGAAACCATTGAAAAATGAAAATATAACGCAAATTTGCTTTTTTTATTGGTATAGTTGGTCATCAAAAACGTATTAACTTATAAAAAGTATAAGGCAGAAGGAAACGTTTTAAATAATTCATTCGGATTAACTTAACATTTTTTTTCTGCGTTATAATGTAGATGTCTTACTACTTTGGATGCCACAACAAAAGTTGTCACAAGATTTACCATTTCTTCTCTTCCGTTTCATACGTTTTTGTACAACTGAACAAAAGTTCAGAAAGTTCAAAGACTTTCAACAAAGACAAATTTTAAAAACATGAAACAAATCAAAATCACAATTTTTTCTAAAAGGGTTGAAAAAAAGTTGATTAAGTGGAGTAGATTCTTTGGAAACCTGACTAAAACTAAGATGACAATGTTTTCGACCCTACAAAAGAAAGTATTCACTGTAGAATCTGTGTTTCCAAATATTTTGCTAGAAATGTTTGACTTGAAATGAAAAACTTAACATATTAATATCACATAGAATTTCTGAATTTTTTCTAAGTAATTTTAAAATATTTGTGCGACTAGATAACACATTTACAAGATAAGGATACAATGCATGGAAGAATCGGAGATCATTTCTTTGCTGATTTGCCTAATCTAGCCTATTTTCCACGCGTAGATTGATGAGACAGATCGTTAACTACTGAATTCTACTTATATTTGCATATTTTCCCAAATAGTGTATGTACTACTTCTGCCATCAATTCCGATTCCTTCCAAATACTGTAAAATATACAGAAAATACTCACTTGCATTGACCTCATGTATGTATGTAAGAACATTATGTATGTATTTGTTTAATGCTCAATACAAAAATATTGGTCGCATCTTGGTTTATTAATCGTAACGAGATCCAGGCGAACTAAATTAATTATATTTTCAGCATTCGTTAGCTAAGTCCAAAATCTCCGGCACAAAACGACGCCAATTTTATCTGTATTTATCCAGGAAGTCTAACTTGTAACGTAATTTAATGGAAGAGAGCAAGATGACTTTGGAAATTTCTTTAATATTGTTGCCTACCAATGTACTTAACCATTACTACTACGTACTTCATTATAGACAAATATTAGCAAACGTGTTTACACTACTGAAAGCTTTGATAAGCTGCTAGAGTTGCAACAATTAATGTTTATTTACTTCTGTTTACGCCACTACATAGTGAATTAATTAGTCGGTAGTGAAATTTAGCATTGTAATTCCGCGCTATTAAGTCAAAAACGGTATTAAAAATGTATGAGCAAATGGTAAATAATTTAGAGGCGCTTCCGAATATAGTTAGCCTTTTACATTTACCACGTCATAATTCAGTTCGGAGTCATAATTATAAAACAATGATACAAAAAGTCGATTCGTAAACTATTGCAACTGTAAGTTGTTGTTTCTATAATAAATATAAAATATAAATAATGTATGTAATACAACCACCTAGCAAAAAATTAGAGGAGTTCCCTAAAACATAAACACATCTTACAGTACGTTAGTGAGATTAAAAGCACGCAAAAAACTTCTATATTGTAGCTTTTCCCAGCTAATTTAATTAATTAATTTTCAAATAGAGCATTAATCCAATTAAATCTGATGCCTTCAAACAGTAAATTTGCAGGAAAAACTTCAAAAATATTAGTATGAAAACCCCATTTAATTTTACAAATTAATTATTACAGATTGCACAGTGCGAAAATTCTTTGAGAGTGGTTATTAGTCTTATAACGGGAACATATGTTAATTGGAAATATATTGATAAGTACTATCTAACACTCAACGCGTTTAATTCAAACATTATAAAAAGTTTGCTGCTTTTACTCGACTGGTTTCATTAAATCTGACTGGTGCTCTTCTAGTAACTGAGTTTTGTGATTCTTACTACCATAATAATGGAAAGGTAAGTAGACATTTTATAGAAATTAAGTAAGCAGTTGAATTGAATATAAATGTCACAAATCCCAAATTAGTTTCAATCGCTGCTAAACCATAAATTATTGTTGCAAGCGAAATTTAATTGACTGGAAATCAGAGTGCATAGCGTTTCATAATTTATAATGGTATGATACACATTTTTTTATAAAAAAGAAGTTTTATGTTTTATTTTAATTTTGTTGGAAGAACCTAATGCTAATTGAAATTGATTTCCTCTTCAATTTCAATTGATATGGAAGAGAAAAAACAATGTTTATAGCATACATTTTAATATAAGTTCACAGTATTTCGAAAGGCTGATGCAAGGCGAATTTGATATTTTTTACATAATTTTGAATATATATTTTATTTTATTAGTTTTGAAACTATTTAATATACAGGGTGATTCAAAATTGGCGTTATCCTTTACAAGAACTAATTGGTTGTTAAATAATTAATAAATTTAGCTTAAATGTCCTTAAGACTTTTTGTGACAAATAAAAACAGTAATAACCCATAAATTAAATCAATGTGAAAAGTATTTAATTTTTGTTAAATCTCAACCGAAAAATACAAAAAAAAAGGACAGACTTTTTCCTTTTCTATGAACCGCCGAATAGTTGTATTGTACATATGGACTAACATGAAAAAAGTTATAGTTTAAACGCGAGAAATCTTCAGAAAGCAATTAGATTGTCGCCCAATTAATTTCATTGAAAAGCGGGAAAGTTCTAAAACATTCAAACTGATATATTTTGCAACCCTCTTGTGCTATCTGAACTCATTCATTTGTGTAAATACTTTCTGGTTACATTTGCTATAAATACAATTTACACAGTATTTACTTAATGCCAATCGGAAATTGAGCTGTTTATTTTATGCTGACGCTTTTTGCAAACTTCTTCTATTTACGTAAGTGTGCGTTTTTTCAATATATTTTTGTGCTTTTCAGTAAAACCTTCTAAATCTCCTATAGAATATAATAATGCAGCCAATTCTAAATCCCTCCATCTTCCGCAAATACAATTTTTTTTTTATTTTGTATTGACCATACACTTACACAGGTGAAAGTTATTTTTTTTAGTTTTATGGTTTATTGCTAATATATTCGGATCAATAAAAATGCAAAATGATGCAATGCAAAGCCTTTCTCTCAAAAATAGGAAAAGCTTAAAAGTATATTTTCAACTATTTTTGAACAAAAAAATTCTCTTTGTAACTCAAAATAACCTCGATGTGAAGATGATTAATTAAAAAACCCTTTCCAATATCATGATTTAAAAATTGTGCTGTTAAACTTGATTGAACTTTTGAAAGGTTTGAAATGGCATACCGACAAAAGTTTAATCGTTTTCGAAATAAACGGATTTTAATTCATACATCTGCGTTCAAAATCATATTGAACTGGAAGGAAGCAATTACCAGAATCAAACATCGAATTGGTCCTGATAACGCTGTTAAAAATTTAAATCGATTCGAATGTTCGAAAATATACAAGCAATTGAAGAAAATTGACGTTATTAAATAGCATTCATAACAATCATTTTATAGATAAGTTCTATATTGTTGAGGCGGATTAATTTTTAACAAACTTCTTTTTGGGTATTTCGCCTCAAAAAAGCGTTGTTGTCACGTTGTTATGTGACTTTTTTTGTTATAAAACTTATCGTGACAATTTACACAGACGAATTATCAGAGCGATTTTTCATATATTGTATTATCCTACTATTGTTACACAATTTATTAACATACTCTTTTTTAGGTTCATTTAGGTTCTTTTGATAACGATAGCAGAAAA